GCTGGAGAAGAGATGTGGAGAATTCCAAACTTGTTCAACCGGAAATAACACTCTGTATTGCATGAGCAACTTCGCCTTCGGAGAGGGATGAAACTCCGTTGTGGAGAAGAGGAGCGTGTGATGGTTTGTTCGTCAAAGTTGAGGAGGTGCTCGAAGTTTTCATGGCAGCAATTGACCTTGGCCGAGCTGGCAGCAATAAAGCCGCCATTCCCATCGTGAACAGAGTCCCAGAGTCTCGAGGGCTTACCACTAACTTGACGAATAATTTGGTAGAGTTTTTGAGTGTCACCAATATTTGAGGCCTGCACCATGGAAGTTGCTGTTTCTTAAAATGCTTCTGCCGGTCGTCCGTAGCCGACTTTGCTGTCAGCTTTCGGAGTTGGCGGAAAGAAGCATCATTGCGGGACCTGGCTCGAGCCATCTAAACAGACAGCTGCAGGATTCTTCCGCTGATCTAGTCACCGCGGTGCCGCTGAGGTAATCCAATACTTTTTCAATTGCCCCATAAATGGATGACTGCAGTGATGATCACTTGCTACTGCCTTCACCATCGGCTCGGTCGTAAAACGGGGCGGAATTTTGCGACATCAAGACGTCTCGCGAGTGGTATTTTGGGCGCAGATGAGAGTTGTGTGCGAACGATAACATGGTCAGAGCCGTAGAAGTTACCAGTTTCGGCACCACGCATCGACCTGCTATCGTGGACCCAACTGCGGAACACTGAACCGACTAGAGTGTAATCGAGCTGACCGGCGTCATGACGCTCCTTTAGAAACCAAGTCAGTAGATGTTTGTGACAATGATGAACGCCTGTGTTGGTAACAAACAGTCGGTTCTGTCGAGCATAATGCAGCATCCTCCCACCATTGTCGGACCAAGATCCAAGCCCAAAACGACCAATAACGTGACTGTTTGACGAGTCACCGGGCCCAGTTCGGCCATTCCAGTTCCCGGCAATAATCAACAGATCACGGTGAGGAAGTCTTTCAAATAGTTCCTGTAGCTGAGAGTAAAAGGCCTCTTTATCTTACTGTTAGGCGGCTGATGTTGATGCATACATAGAAACGGCAGAGATGTTCGTAATCTGACCCTGTAGTTGCACGTAATCCATGCGGTCCTTTACTGGTTCCCATGCCAATAGCCACGCCATGTCCATCAGAAGACTGGCGTGGGCCGCTTCGATACGAGGTGAGTTTGAAATTGACTCCCGGGGTTTTTATATTTCCCGGGCGCCCGAGCCGAGGATTTGAACATCGAAAAGGCAGGTGTTATTGATGAAGACTGCGCGCCGTCAGAATTTGTGTACCAGGTTGCAGAAGTGTTCGCACATTCCAGCAGCCAATACCAAGGTTCCGTTCCCAGTTAAATAGTCCAGTTTGCATTTCATTCACTCGCACAACTGGACAAGGGTTGCGGAGCGCGTCAGTTCCTGCGGACGCCGTAGTTTGGATCGTAATACTGTAAGTAGGCATTTGCATGAGGGATCTTTGGGATTTCGAATAAAGGCGTGTCCCCAACAGCCGCTCGGATTGTTTGTTCAAGGTTCCCTCCTTTAGCACTTTGGCTCAAGAACCTAACCAGAAGACAGCGGTGGCAAGCAAACCTTTTTAGCGGCGGTTCGTGGTCGCCATACCACTTTCTAACTGATAAAGGGAATTTCCCTCCTCCTCTATATGCCTGGTTATCGTTCTTACATAAGTTATATATCTGTCCGGCCGACGGTTGTTGGAGTGGTCCGCGGCTCATACGGTCGTCACTCCTTGCGCGTGCTCCAACATCAGAACTCTGGTTTAATGATTCTTTTTCTTGCCATGAGAAAGCCGCGACTGGGGAGTTTGCGCGGGTCAACTTGATCCTGACGCATTTTTTACCCCCTATCGTCGACGTAATCCCCTTGTCACTCGAAATTATTTAAGCTGCCCGCGACAGTCCCGGATACGGCAATCCTGCGCTCTCACATCACGCAGTGACTGCGTGGCCTCCAGATGGTAGTACCTGACTGCGCATGCAATGCTGAGGTTGGGTGCTGTGCATAGGCCGGTGGTGGCCTCTAGTGCGCTTTTGGTGTGGTTTGAAATCATGCGCTGCTTGCGGTCGGTGCATATCGTTCATATATTTTACGCTATTGGGTTTTCTTGCTGCCCGACCTGCAAGGTGACGAAGACAGTTGCGGCTTCGAGTTTGCTCAGTGTTATCAGACGATTCAATATAATTGAGACTGTACTGTAGTCGTATAAGGCATTCGCCGACCATAGTTTCTGTTGAGTGGCATTCACTCCGCAAGTATGTTTGTTTAAAAGATAAAGTCATATAACGGACTATCTTAGTCATGTTCAGTCTCTGTGGTTTTTGAATGTCCCCGATCGCAGCCGATGGCTCAAGTAGTATAGTCGCTAAATGAGAAGATTCAATGACTGACCGGGTCCAAGGAGAAGAGAACTGGGAGGCCAGAGATGAGAGAAGAGTTTATTCTGTACAGGAGTTGAGAATAAGTGGGAGGAAGTTGACTGTCGAAACGCACGCCCAGCAGCGAGGAGGGCTTGGTCCGGAGTGTCTGACAATGTTGGCAGTCACTGCAGCAAGGTCCTTCGTGAGTCAGCCTTGAAAGGTGATTGGCCAGACCAGAGGGAGGCAAGCTAGTGCGCGCGTGTTAGTGGGCTGCGTGAGACAAGCGTTCAGGCGGAGCATGCGCTTGTCCTAAAGGTAGGTCGAGACTTGCAATCAGGTGACCTCATGCGTGGCATGGCATAAGAGGTCACGACAGATACACCGTCATATTAACAGGCTGTCCAGGCAGATATGATCATCAGGAGGGTGCCACCCATTGAAAAGAGCGTGGTTCAGGGACACTAGGCAAGCGAACTCTTAAGTCGTTATCCTGCGTGCGTATGCGGTATATAACCACGAGCTAGCATTTCATTCCTGCTTAAAAACAAAAGAAAGCTATCCCTTCAAGCCCCATCTATGTGCATTTAGTAGTTCTTGAGGGGGGATAAGGCATGCCTAGGGTGGGTCCAACATCGTAGTTGTACAGTCACACCAGATTCATCTTTGAGATTGGATGAAAGTTGTACAAACTTATGCTGACGAGCACACCATGCTGTGCATACATTGCAGGTAACTATAATGCATAGGTGGCGTCACGAAGGTCTGGAATGAAAGCGCGACTATGGTGGTAGGAAGCACCTATAAACAGTACCTTTATGCGTCTTGCTAAACGCGCCAGTGTGCCTGGTAAATGCTTCTGGTTCGTCCCCTCCCGGCACCCAGCTATCATCTGTGACTCAGTCGCCATACGCAGCGGGTATCCGTCATGTGTGTCTACACACCGGCAGCCTCTGAACTAATCCTCAAATCCCCTCCAACCTCCTAAACAAATTTTCCTCCGGAGAGGGCTATACGCAATCTCATGGTTTTTCTAATAAAAAACATTGTACCGCCAATTGGAATTCGGCAGCCCTATGTAAGCATAACTCGATTTATTTTCTTGTCCTAGGGGGAGGGGGGTTGGAAAGGTTGTCTTAAAAAGCAGCAATATAAAACGCCCTCAGCAATATGAGAGTGACTTTTGTACGCAAAGAATTCGATCGAACAATCAACAATAAATCCTGTCTGCATCCTCGTAGATTATCGGGTGTCCGCTCCGTTTAAGGCAAACCAACCACAAACCGTTTTTAAAGGAGAGTAATTATTCTCCTCCACACATCCCTCCTCAAAAATTGGATTTTGCAGCACTCATTGAGATTCGTTTTTCTAAACAGGGTCAATGTAAGGAAAATGGGGGCAGATATACTTAAGGCAAGAGCTACAGGATGTCAGAATCGCCTTCGCTATCAAGAATGTCAGCGCAAGGCGGCTATATGACTTACCATAGGGCGTCAGTGACGGCTTCGTGAGCATTAGGTCACCACTAAACGAAAACAAATTCTCAATCACCATCTGCCTCTATGTCTGCTAAGTGACCAACTTCGATTAAATTAAAAACAAGATCTACGAAGACCTGCAAATCGCCCTGCCGACTGTGTTGAAGGCAGCTAAATTGGTCGGCCTTAGCAACCTCAATACCCACATGGGCACAGGCCATGCTCTCTGGGATGAAGTGTTAAGCCGCTACAGGATCGGCAACTGCAAGGACAATTCAGGCCCGTGCAGAGTACATTCTTTTTCCCAACGTCAACTTCTCCCGGCGAGGAAAGAAGTGATGAGGTTGCACTGTCGCTGGTAAAACTGGCATATGCTAGACCACTTTCTAGTTTTAAAGCGTTGACTGCAGTTACCCCAGTGTGTGTTTACGTGTAGTGGCCGACTGAAAGTCAGGCTGGAACGGCTCCTTCCTAGTGTGGCCTCTATGGCACTCACGCTTCGTGGGATCCGAGGCAGCTGTGGCGACACGCGTAGGGGCGGCTCCGGCCACGCCACCTATCTGCGCCTTCCCCCACCTCCGGTCTTCCTGACTTGGTCATGACACCAGGCCCAGGTGGG